ATTAGAATCGATGTGACTGCAAAGACCAAAATCATTAAAATGAATGGCGTGAATAAGGGCACGATCAATCGAGCAGTGAATAGGCGAAGACGATAAAGCTCTGGCAGAACAAATTTCTCTAATAAACATATTTCAACCTGGTCATCTGAGGAAATATTGATTAAGCAGCCATATCCAAGGATACTCTAAACATAATACACCAAATAAAATTTGTTGATCAGGTCTGCTACCTGAATGTCATTGACATTTGACTTGACTTAAACACACTTCCACTGTCAGCTGAAGACTTATAAGTTTTTTACCTCGTTGACAGAGATTTTTCAGCGTAGTGCTATATCAAACTGAATGTTCAAGGGAAATGCTAAGGCGGATTTGCCGCTTAACAGTTCAACAAAATAAGGCTACTTAATATGCGTCATTCAGCGGTCGTGAAAAGCATATTAGAGCTCATAAGCCTACACCGCTTGCGGTGTTTTTAATTTATCATCAGCGATGAGACTAAGCAGATTTATCACACTTTGATTAGTAGAATTCGTGCTTACTCATTGGATGTGAACATAAGTTTCAAAATTCGCACAGAAGAAAAATGATTGCATGAAGGCGTAAATACGTCAAAAATCAATATTCCATTGTGGCCGAGTCAGCTATGCGGAAAAGCCACAACTTAGCACTCATAAAAAAAACCATAAGGTCGACAATTCAGTGTTGACTGTTTTTTCGATTTCTCATCTACGAAGCAGACAAAAGGAAGGAGAAGTCAAAGATAAAGTCGAAGAGAAACAGAAAGAGAAAGGAAAAGAAAAAGTGAAGGAGAGGGCGAAGGACAGAGAAAGAGAGAATTTCTCAAATTCCGAGCAAAGGAATTCGCAAAAATCGAATAACAATGAGTAAAGTCTTCAGCCTCACATACCACTTTAATTACTATTGTAAATTCACCCATGTGGTAAAAGAAATGCCGTATATGGCAATTTTCTGTTGTTTGAAATGTTGCTATAGGCAAATAACTTCTAAAATCCAAGCTACTGTGTGTTATTTATATCAGTATAAGGAATGTGATCGTTACACAAATGAAATGATACTTCATCATACGAAATATACAATAATAAATCTTGTTTCCACTGTACATCCTGAAGAAAATGCAAGAAAGTAACGGCTTTCCATATACATCCACCTTTTTGAAAATCTTGAAATTATCAAGAAGTGGGCTAAGGAACCTCCGCTCATTGTTATTTTGATCATGTACCTGATGAGCCCACTTGAATTTCCGATCTCAATACATTTGCAACTGCAGTAGAGAACAACCGTACAATTGTTGAAGCTGAGTTTCTCTGTAACATTTCGTAAGGTCTTGAGAGGATCTGCTTCGATGATTGGTTTAAATTGGTAGTTGTTAACATCACATGGCCAGCCATTATATTCCTCATTTTCAACGCTCTGGTCTCCTTTGCATAACTTCTTGGACCATCGCTACTCAGTATTGTGGTTAGTATTCCTTGGCCAAATATACTGGTGTTGTTGAGAGTCTCTGCTGCTTTTGCGATCTATTTTTTATTTTAATTTGAAATTCCGGGGAAACTCGATTTTTTGAAGCTTCTCAGAATCTCAACAACCTCTGAAAAGTATTAATAGGGTTGAGAAATGTGCTTCCATATGACACTACATCATCAAGTGGCTTTTTGAAAGCAAGTGTGCTAGAGATAGGGCCTGCAGATAGTTTTTGGTCTTTGAATACAGAAGCAGTTAAGCACAATTGGACACACGAAGAAATGGACTAATACAACCACGCGTAGAACAAAAGTAGCGAAGCGCTCTGATAGGCATCCTGAGTTAACTTGATCTTTGTCTTGCCATGTGCGTCTTCAACCATTCTCTAATGAAGTGCTTTCAAAAATGATTAGCCATATGATATTGCTGATGATAAACATAACTGACACGTATTTAAGCCAATAACAGCTTCATCACATTTTGTTTGTCTTATTCTACTACACCGTATTACTGCAACCTCGTCTCTGCTCATAAAAAGATAAGAACCGCTGCATACGAGAATTGTCATACAAACCGCCTTCACGTAATCACATGCACCAACTTGCTCGTTAAGATATTCTCTTCTGCAAATTGTGACTACGCTTCTTGGGTGAGGGTCGTCTTTTTCTTGGAACTAACATTGTACTTCTTGCTTCCAAGGACGCTTCACAACGCGAGCACTTCTATAGGCACTAATGAGGGAAATCACACGAACACATACTCGAAAACAACGAGGTAATTTTTAATGGAGAAATTTTCTTGTTGACATGAATTTGTGGAAGCATTTTGTGATAAGTAATTATTGATAAGCATCAGGTTTTAGCTGATGAATCCAAGAAAAGCCTTGGTCCTCACGTGCGACCACTCTTCATACTTTAGGCTTATCTTTTAGCCTGAGGCAATTACATTACTACACTATGCAATACTCTGGGCGGCTGTCTTCCATAAATATGTGAAAATTATAACTATGAGACGGTAAGAGACTTAAGAAAGAAGCTGTTTGTTGCTGCAAACTGGAATTGTTTATCACGTTCTTCTGCTGAGGTTATGAAAGCGTTCCACTCAATACCTTCCTTTAATTTAACCTTTTCAGGCGCTGGAGAAGATGAAATTGTCGAAATCTTAGTCATTGCTGTTGTGCTATAATGTAATCAATAAGTGTTACTTTAATCAACGTCCTGTCTGGTTATCAAGAAAACACAGAATCAAGGTCTATCTCCTAGAAGGTTGGGTTGCACAGTTGAGCTTCCAGAAAATAGCGAACTATCAAAAATCATAGTGTTAAAGTGTACTCACTGCCTAATTCTTGTTGGCTGAATGGTTTAAAAACCAAGGTGTTGAAATAGCAAGAGAGATATAGAGAGCGAGGGTCTCGATGATCTAATGGAGTGCGAGTGCATGCTATCCGCAAAAAGAAATAATTGCGTTAGCATCCACTACATATACATAGAGTTCCCTGTTTTGCTCGTATTTCAGCACTTTTGTGGTTACAATCTAAAGACTAATTTTTGTGGTTACAATTCTAAATTCCAATCTGATGGCATTTATGCCATAAGCCGCAAGATGTAGAGGATTACGATGATAAGAGAGGGATACTGGATATGATTAGATGGTGCTGATGGTGTTACGTTTGATAACTTCTTTTATTTTATTCACAACTAATATAATGTAAGGAACATTTATTTTTTATATACAGCTAACATCCGGAGTGATACATACACATACACCCATCACATACACACATATAGACACACAAAACACAGGACTCACAAACACATACACACATAGACACGATCATAGTGTCGTATTGAGAAGCTGAACCATCATTCGAATATGTGCACGTTGGTGATGCCGATGTGGGGCAGATAGCCTTTGATGGGCTCCTTATGGTAAACTGTATGACGAAAATACCTTGAAAAGCTTGGATATAATGGTATCCCACCTATTAATCTATTATGACGGAGCTATCGAGATTCGTCACTTTTTGCCACGGATGTCTCTCTAGTATCAAGAACTATTTAATCACTATCTATCATTTTTCCATGCCAGGGTATGATATGAAATGCAATTACAAAAAACAAGGTATGAAATAAATGGGAAACTCAGATAGTTTTTTGATCTACACATTTGCTCATCTCTAAGCATTTTGATCATCTGTCAGCGTTCTTATTGTTATCTCTATAGCTTCCACTAACTCACTACATAGTATTTCAAATGTAATCAGTGAAACTCCAAGAGCATATGAATATTCAATATGGCTCTTGCGACGCAATCCAGACTAATGAATTGATTAGCAGAGTGTAGCGGAGTGGTTGCGATGCAATTACCTAGAACGAATATAGCTGTTTCAAATCCCTTCTGCCACCGTTCTCCTGCTCTCCACCTTAGCTTGGATATCTTCAAGACAATAAATAATTGACTCGACCAACATTCTACGTATTTATAGAAAATTTGAGATCCTCATGTAGCAGTTGAAAGAAGATGTGAAATATAATGGGTTGTTCAGCAATTTGTTCGCATTTCGGCAACCTCACTAATTCATTTGACAGTTACTTGAAGAAATCAATCAATCACCACTATTTCACAGTGATGATATATGATATGCAACCATTTGCTGGGCAAAGATTACATATCTTCCATGAATGAGGCTGGGATCAAAAAAGTTTGTGAGGTCACTTTCAAGTTGGTTGTAGCCTTTAAATTTCTTTTCTTCCCTAGATATTGCTTCAAGACGCGGAAGCGACGATAACTTGATATAGCAATATCAACATTATACAGTGGATGTAGTAAGGTGGTTCAGCCGAGTTTCCGCAAATTGTGGAGAGTCGACTTTGCAATGTGAGATTAGGAGTTATCTTGGAGAAGGGCGACACAGTCGTTTCGGAAACTCTTGCACTGCCGCAGCCAACATCTTGAGTTCTCGTACCCGTAGACGTCGGCATTTGTTTTCTCATTATCGAGCAATTTCTAATATTTTTATTGCATTTTTCGCAGCGCCTCCTCAGGCGGGAGTCGACTCCGCATGTCATCATATCGGGGGCGTTTTCTCTACTACTACACCACCGAGGCACATTGGCCTGACCACTCATTCTTCAACATCTCTATGTTACGCATTGATGTAGAGCGATGTGCAAAACTTTCGCGTCATCTTCGACTGAACCCGCACCTCACTCTTTGCTGGAATGCGTGCTCTATCCGTTACACTACTGACGCCCATTTTGTACATCGCCCTCTCTACTCTACAGCGCATCTATCTGTCAGCCGCCAGCCGTCAACGTCCTGACCCGGATAGTCGGTGTCGACATTGAACCCAGTCACGCTGACAGATATTGGATACTATAGATAAATGATATCTTTTTTATTTAACCACTTATAGCTTATCTCTGTGTTAGCTATGCGACTCGACGAAACTTGTTAAAGCTTGGTGGTTGGTAGCTAAAATAGATATGTTGAAGAATGAATGGTCGTGCAAATGTGCCGCGGTGGCGTAGTGGTAGAGACGCGTCCCTGGTCAGGTTGAAACGCGGGTTCGATTCCCGCCTGAGGCCATGTTTTTTGCTCACCACTCAATTCTCTTAGGTTTATGCATTATCGAGCAGTTCATAAAACAGCATGTCCTGTCATTCTTAGCAATCCTCGAGCATAATCTTTTGAGCATGGAACTTGAGCTATGGTGTAGGTGTAGGACGGAACTAGATGTAGCATCCTAACCTAGTATTCTGGCATCCCGATAGTATCTTGATATCTTATCCACTGGCTAAAGCTACTAGAACATTCTCCAACAACCATAGCCTTATGAAATTAATCCAGATTTGAAGTAGAAAATACTGTGTAGAACAACAGCACGAAAGAAATCATGGGAGAACCCAATATTTGCTTGTAATAGCTCGAGCGAGGTGATGGCGATAATGTTCTTCATGTAATGTCCTTTATTGCTTTTGTTTGAGCTGAAGGATACTCATAGACGATTCTCCTTAGTCTCCTGTGCTATAATTCCTTTTTTCTTTAGGTTACAGAGACTGCAAAGTTTTGAGACCTTGTTACAGAATAAAGCCTCATTACACAGTGTATTTCAATGTCTCATAAATATGCCCAGGTTTAGAGTCACTTGCTCGAGTGCCTACAATTCATTACAGATTTCGTTAATCTGCTTTTTAATGCGATCAATGTGGCTATGACTGATGTACTGTTGGATTCTCAACAAATTCACAGACTTAGTCCATTTTCAAAAAGTGAGATTACTGACATGTTTCTGATGGTAGAATGCACTCTTGAGACATATTATGGATCCGGCTTTACGCTGTTTTCCTTTTTTTTTCACTGTGCGGATCCTAGTACTTCTAGCATTCGAATTGCTATCTCGTCTTCTTCTTCTTGTCGTATCGTAGAATACTGGTTGAGCGAGTCTCCTAGCAATCTCGAGAATAGCCTGGCTGTGACTTTACATAAGGTGTTCGTTGTTGACCGTCGAAGAGTTGGGAGTAGAGCCAGACTCCATTCTCGCCGCGACGAGCACCAGAACCACTCGGCTACGGTGACTTCAAAATGAACTCTAAATCTTGGATCTATAATTGGCAAACTTAGAATGAAAATCTAAATTTTCCAAGCTATCGAATGACTTCAAAAATGAGTGATGGAATAGGAAAGAACGAATGGTTGAAATATGGAATATTTCTTGATACATGGGGCTAATCTTTACCATGAACTCTTCGAAAAGTTTTTTGCAATACTTCATTGGAATAAAAGTTTTTCGGACCGAAATGCGCGATATATTCCTAAAATCTCTTTGAAGTCTGAAACAGCTTTCGACGAAAGTAAAACGTAATTCTCTTTTAATCTATCTTTTTGTACTCTCATAAGCCAAGCTTGTTGCTAAAATCTCCAATTATCAAGCTAGCGAATGATTACTGACATCTCGTGAAAAGCTCTTTCAGAGAAGGAAAAGGAAATACGAGCATTTTTTACACAAATGCGACCCATCTTTGCAATTCTTGATAAAAAGTGTAGACTTTCAAGACAACAGAGTGCTCTTTCTTATCAAAATACGTTTATAGAAACCCATTCGACAGTCTAATTTTTAATAACGGAAAGTTTACTTAACATCAAAATTCTAGTATATAATACCAAAAGAAAAAAAACCGTTGTGGAACTGGAGCAACATACTTTGAAAGCAAAATCTTGTCTGTTTTTGATTAGTAGAATGTAATATGAAAGTTTCGTACGAATCTAAGCTAAGTGTGAGGATCGGCATTTTTCAAGCTATCAAATGAGTACGAAAACGGAGATTAAGAATTAAGAAGCAAATGTTCTTCAACGACTGGAAGTAAGTTTCCTTTCAAAGGGATGTGATTTTTTTTATTGAAACATAGATTGATTTCCGGCAGATGGGCGTTTTATTTACCAAAAGACCCTTTATAGAAGTTTCCTCTCTGACATTCCATCATTTAATGCTAATAATGTTCTCTTAGAACCATAAAAAAACAAATAAATATCTATCTCCATAGAATCGTGTCGATACGTACTCGCAGCCGGCTCTCCGCAGGAGCCGCGAGCGCGGGCACACTATGTACCGAAAACGGTACATATGGTCGTCAAGTGGCTAAATTAAGACTAAAGGAGCGTTTGACTGAAAGGTTTAGATATTTCACTACAACGAATTCCAAGCTTTCGTCAAAGTTCTCTAGAGTTAAAATTGTAAAATAAATGAGTTTATAGAACTACTTCAATATCTAGACCTGGAAGTACACCTGAAGAACGTTAAATTGGAACGATGGACTAAAATGGAACGAGCAAGGTGAGAGGCTATGTGAGTTTATCGTGGCGACCATACATGGCAGCTCACAATTTCAAAAGCCTCATTGTCAATGGACGTGGGAGTCGTGCAATGGAAAGTATCATAACGAAATAGATCACATCTTAGTAAATCGATGGTTTTGCTTGATCGACGTCGCTGTTGTTCCTAAGTTTTACACGGGATCAGACCATCGCCTCCTTCACGCAATGTCCCGTTTTAGGCGGAATGAGAGAAAGCCGCCAAATGCAAACAACGAAGTCCCACAACTACTGTAAACTGGGATGTATTCAAATCGTTAGTCGCTATTGGAAAGACACCGCCGACAACATCGACGAAAAATGCCAATGGCTCGTTGAATATCTGCACGTTAACGCTATGAAAGCCGAGAGTCCTAAAATTACAAGGAGACGCTTGTCTCCGCAGACACTTGAGCTGATACATCAACGTGGAATAGCAAGACACAGGCAACCGAGACCTTACGTACAAACTTGCGAAATCGTTCCAGAGAAGAAATAAAAGAAGACCTCCGAAAGACGAGCGACAGTTATGGCAGAAGCCGCAGAAGCCGAGAGGAGCACTCGCAAAGCCCACCAAAGCTCCGCCAATTACAAGACCAGGATGATTGCACTCCGACACTCTGACGAACACTTACAGCTTCCAGATGGGCAGCGGAAAAAAATCATCCACGACTACTACTTGTAACTCTCACTAGCCATGTCCTTTTACCGTCACATAATTAGAAAGAGGACAAATTTATCGTACCACCGGTCCACCTTTCCGAAATGCGACGTGCTACATCGTTGGTGAAGAATAAGACAACACCTGGTCCAGACAGGATTAGATTAGAACAGCTTGAAGAACCTACCGCCAGTCTCATCAACACCATAGATTGGCTCTTCACTCGCTATCTGTCAGAATGCAAGGTTCCCAGTCAGTGGAAAACCAGCAAGACCGAATTGTTGTTGAAAAAACGAGACCTTCACGACATAGGCAATTATCGCCCATTCTGGTTGCTGTCCGTTGTCTATAAACTCTTCATTCGAGTCATCTTAAACAGGAGTGACAGAACACTGGGCAAAAAACAGTCATGCAAACAAGCAGGATTCCGAGACGGACTTAGCATTTTAGATCACATCCACACAATTATTAAACCATTGAACTTGCAAGAGAGTACAAATTACCGCTCTCTCTCTCTCCCTCTCTCGCTCTCTCTCTCTCGTGATCGATCCGAAGAAACTTTGATTCAGTGGAAACAGAAGCCGTTATAGAGGCTCTGGATAAGCAGGGCGTCCCTACTCGGTACATAACGATCCTTCGTGAGCTGTATAAAGAATTCGCAGACAAAATATCGCCATTCTACAACAATATTTCTATCGAGGTATGAAAGGGGTTCGACAAGGCAATTCAAATTTGCTAAAATTATTCACTGCCACCCTCCAAAACGTCATGCGGAGCATTGCAATGTGACCATATGGGTGTGAGAATTGACGGTTGACAATTGAACCACCTTTGCTTTGGTGATGATATCGTCCTTGTAACACTAAGTACCTGCCAAGCGGAACGAATGTTGAGCGCTTTCGACAACGCCTGTGGAAAGATTGGCCTTCAACTAAATCTAACGAAAACGATGTCCATGAGGAACGGATGGATTTTGCGTAGGACGCTTTGAAAGTTAATACAAGTGCTTATGAAATGGGCTTGATAGTGTTGTAGCATTTGCCTTAGTATTCGGATTTTCCTTGAAAAAAGTTTTTTTTGACCGGTTGTTCTATTGTGAGCCCGTTTGCTCGGTTGATGATAGGTTCGACCTTAAACCATGAGGGCTCGGTGGACGTCATCACATGAAGCCAGCTTGCATGTGGGATGAGCAGGTTGAGCATTTCGGTATAATCAAATTTCGACATGACGAACAATCGCTGCGCTAATTACTTCATGGTTATTCACACTTTTGTCAAAAGTTTATTATAAGGAAGCGATCGCAAGCCTCAAGTGGCTCTCAGTTAGTGGAAAGATTGTCTTGCGCATGTAAGTGGTAAATCAGTCACTGTTTTCCACTTACTGGAGATAGAATCATTTTGTCTATGGCAAGTGCACATTAATGCAACATTTGAATGAACATTATAAGGCTTCATTTACTATTCAAGTGGAAAATAATGACATGCAGTGTGGTTTTCGTCTTACCACTGGGTTACTCACCTGTGCTCGTATCAGTCTGATAGCCAACTCTTGATTCTTATCCGAATGAGATCCTGCTTCACTATGAATATCGATGAGTGTTGATAATCATTCTACCTTTTTATCAGATCCAAAAAAAATGTTTACTTTTCGCCATTTGTTGCTGAACTTGCAATTACTATCTAGTTCCAATAACATTACTGAACACATATTCAATGCAGAAAAAACTTCCTTTGTCAAAATGAAAGGGTTTTTAGTTCATCAAAAAATAGTTTGACACTTTCCACTGATCAACACAAACGAAGGCATCCAGATGACTAGTTCAAGATCAAGTAGTGGCATTAAGGAAATTGACACCCCGAGGAAAGAAAAAGTCATTGGGAAGTGAAAACAAATTTATCGCGCTGCAATGCGATTCAAGTGAAGTATATTAGTGAGCCCTAAGAAAATAGGTATTTTGCCATAATTCATGAAAGGCACAGTGATTGTCACCAAATCTCGCGCAGTGAATTCTCATAAAACCTCTGTTACTTTTCGCAGTACTAATGATCTCTTTTGAGGTGAGTAAATGTGGAATTTTTACGTAGTGTTCCAGTGAGAGAGCACCTTCCTGAGGGAAGCTTTTTGCTTAGTTAGGTGTTACAAAACTTTTAACCCTGTCGTCTTGTGGTATGAGTTGTCTTCAAAAAAACCAATCAGTAAACAGTTAGTTTAGAACTGACGGATACAACAGAGATTCAGTAGATGAGGAAATTTTATTCAAACAGTTTTGCAGTTTGTCGAATTCGATCCGTTGCTGCTGTAGAGACCCAAATCATCAGAAAGTTATTCAGAATTCAGAGCTCTAGTCAGTCGAGCACATAAAAAGAAAATACGTTGAATCTTTAGCTGGACAAATTTTTCTAACAAACACGTGTTGTTTCAGATAGTTGGGAAAATACCGATTTGAAATGCCATAATTAGATAAATGGCCATGAGCGAGTGCTTGTGATGCTTGTCGCGGTGGAGTGAAGTCCGATCCCGCTTTTATAACTACTGCAGCGTTTTCACTGATTGTTCTTATTACTGTACATGTTTGAAAGCGGTTGTCAGAAAAATTCAAAACTTTCACTTTTTACAGTAATAGCCAGCAGAATCCATTTACTACATGATTTTCTTGAAGTTTCTCACATTTTGTAGCAAAAACAGTACGCAATCCTCATGAAATTTACTAGATAAAACTGCGAAGAACAGCTCGTTTATAATAATACCATTCGAGCCATTTCACTGATGAATAAGAGCAGACTGATTCTACAATTTGCAAAATTGCTGTGTAGCATGTTATAGCGTAGAGATCGATTTTGAGGCATGTTTGCAGACAGCTCTTCGAGCAAAGTAAAAACTGTCCAGGAAAACACTTCTTTCAACTCTCGTGCTGAAGTACGGTAGTGACCGCAGCAGTATAAATGGATAAGATTTCACTCATCGCGAATATGCTTGAGGGATATCTCCGGCACAAGGCGTGATAAATTTTGCCTCGCTCATTTCGTGCTCGGCAAATCGAGAGCACCGTCGTCGTTGTAGAATCAGCTGCTGTGTTATGATTATTTTTACGGCTGCTGAATACTGGTGAATAAATATTCTGTCTCGCACTTCCTCGTTGCAGTAGTTCCGTATTGTTTTAGTTAAGTAGCTGAGCGAAAAACAAATACGTTACAGCATTATTACACTTTCGTGCGATGCTGTACTAAGTCAGCTATGGGTATCTGTGAAATGGTGGGTTTGACTCTTTTTCAAGGTTCTCGTATATAAGAATACATAGCGGTCCTCTCATTTTGCCAATTCATTCATCCCCGCATAGTTCACATGAGATCAGGTACACTGTACCAAATGTCATACAGTTATCATCTCTACTATTAGAAACTTAATATGAAATTTTTCGTTTTGCAGAGACGATGATAAAAATGATTACGGACTTGCTAGCGCTCCAGAGTTCCCGGTAATATCTCAACCTCTACTACCGTTCATTCTAAACTAATCCTTTTCAAGGAGTTTCAATAACTGTGGTCACTCCCTTAGAATTACAAAAGATAGAGCTAATGAGACCTTATTTTCACTAAGCTTATATACCTAAGAGAAATGAGTGGTGAGCAAAGAACGGCCTCAGGGGGGAATCGAAACCGCGTTTCATCCATACCGTGGATGCGTGTTAATTCCACTACACCACCTAGGCACATTTGCGCCACCACTCGCTCTTCAACATCTCTATCTTAGCATTCAGCCATTTCGATTATTAATCATTACAATGAGCTGTCAGCTCAAGTGCGTTTATAAGCGAAATCGCATACTTGACCAAACATGTCAAAGGCTGATGGCTAATAGTTAACATAGAGGTGTTGAGAATGAGTGGTGTCGCAAATGTGACTCGGTGTTGTAGTGGAGTTAGAACGCGTCCCCGGTATTGATGAAACGCGGGTTCGATTACCGCCTGAGACCAATTTTCGCTCACCACTTAATTCTCTTAGCCTCTAGAAAAATCTTATAATTGTTATGAATGTGTTTTAGTATGTGACCGAAATCCTTCTTCATAGAGTTCGCATTCATTAGTTCGAAGTACTATTTCATAGAGTTCGCATCTATCAATTCCAGAACTATTTTGTAGGAAAGATGCTTAATTACAACACATATGTGTTATCTCCTACACTCAAAAAATTAATCCAATGATCAGCAACATATTTTTATTAGATCGTCTCATAAGTTTTAGCACTAGAGCAATAAACTTCAAATTTGATAATCAAAGAAATCCAAAATATTTCACCACACTAATCAAAGTATGCCATGGGCCTCAACATGCATACGTGCTTTCATTTCTGGCTAAGGTCATCACCATCAACAAAAAATGGATTTTCTCAAGAGCTAACGATGTCCAAATCAATGTTTGCCACCGGACCAACGAGAAATTCCAACTCCACGTGCCAAATTGATTAGCGCCAAAGACTTTGTTCAGCATTCTTTGGAACTGTACTGGACCGTTTAAAAGGATCTTGCTGCCTATCGGAGATACGATCGACGTCAAATGTTATTCTGAACACCTAAGCCGTTGCAACCGGGCCCTATCATGTCGACCTCGCGCGATACCATCCTAATCAGCACAACGCAAAGCTACATGCCGCCAAATTGACAAAGAGGTCTTGAACGAGTCGGACTGGCAGTTGCTGGATCATCCGCCGTACAGTTCTAGCTTTTTACCGTCTAACTGTATCTTTCAGTCACTTGAGCATTCCTAGCATCATAGCAAAAACATATTTTGTGATATCAATATTTGCTTTGAAGATTGACAACTTTCCTTGAATAGAAGGATGAATAAATCTATGAGACCGGCATTGAATCACTTCTTGCAAAATGACAGAAAGGTGTTCAGGCGACGGCGCAAACTTTAAATAGTGTTGTTAAGCAATTCAAATCACTTCTGATTCATAAATCTGGTGTTTATTGCTCTAGCGCGAAATTTATGAGAAGACCTAATATTTCACGGGCTAAAGCTTGCTCTTAGACCATTGATAGAAATTCAATGGCGCAAATCTCTAAAATTCCAACAATCTATTTGTTCTCTGGAAAGTCTTTGCAGTACTGTAACAGAGAGAATGGATTTGTTTCACACAAGTGCATTTTGAAGGATGAAGCTCTTTCCTTAGAGTAGTAGTAACCATTCAATAGCGCAAATTTCTGCGACTCCAGTGCTCTCTTTTCCATAGGAAAGACTGTATTAATGCAGTGCAGCAGGGAAGATAAGAGTGGGCCGCAAACACGGCGCGCTTTGCTTGTCGGCTAAGATGTGAGTTGTTATGAATCGGTATACGATCGATAAACCGCGCAGCAGTCCTCATGAGGAACAAGAATTTTGGCTGCAAAAAACTGTGGATGACAAATATGACCCTGATACCGCAAGATTCCCTGTGCACGCGCATGTACTTTTTCGTGTATAGGTTCAAGTTCTTCAAGCCTATACTAACTGGAGAGTTTTTACCAACCAAAATTCTGTCACAAATTTGTTTGTTGTCTGAGCAATCATTTAGGGCAACACGGAACTTCTCATAGCTTCTAGGAAAAAAATTAATGCCGACAATTCTACATCGTTGATGATGTTCTCGATTTGTCTTCTTAAGAAGAATTATGAAGAACTTCCTTGAACTCATGGTCTGCCTAGGAAAGAAATCGCAGTACTCCAAAAACAGGGTAAATGAAGTGTGCTATCTTCTATAAAACAATAGATTTTTTAATTTTTTAACGGCCCTTTCCAAATGCGGCAGAATCTGAGGAGAAATAGTGGGACACTTTGCAACCTTTACAGAAATGGTTAAGAATCCTTCTCCATAGAAAATATACAAGAACCAACATTGTTCCGCCTGCATATCGTAGAAAAATTGCAGGAAACCAGCGGCGCTCTATAAACACCCGGCGTCATCGAAAAATTCGAAGTAAACTTAGCAAAAGTTGCATGCCATGATTGTCTCTAACACGTTCTCAGATCGTACGCCTCATTTCCTTACCTCAGTGCATTAGGAAGTCACCAGAGTGAAGGATTCTTTTCCTTTGAGAGTGAAGTTCGCGCTTCATTGAAACTGTTTTTCCCATGGCTCAAAGCCGCCACTTCACATTTCGTTCCTTATATGAGTAGAGCTCTATAACCATTTTGTCCTTCTTCCGTTTTTGATTTCTCCTATGAAATTCAGCAGCTATTGCTCTTTTTACCATTAGTCACCGTCGTCATCAGAAAAAGAGTTAGCAGCTATCATTTTTTTTGAATTAATTGTGCTATTATGGTGCTGAGGGAGACACCAATGGAAACATCAAAGCCATTTCGCAGCTGTGCTTCGTTTATGTGAATCGATTTCTCCTTCAATAAAGTTTTTTCGGAAGGTGCATTCCTAATGGGGTGTTTTTTTCCAGCGCTAATTCCTTTATTTTGGGAAAGTCAGAATTTATGACGCACCAACACAAATAAATGTAGGAAGCGAATTTGAGACATGCTTTGAGGTATTTCACACAGCAAGTGCTTTTCCTCAGGAAACGCTTACATATACCTCGTCCTTGTTCATAATTTTAAATCAAATTCTTACCAACTTGTTTTATGTGCTTTTGATTATGAAATCGCTTATTAATGTCACACTGGCGGATTTTGTTTAGAATATATTGCAGTAAAAATCCCAAAATCTTGGAACAGTCAGAAAACTGCTAGAACGTCTGCTACCTCAGTTCAGTGTCAACGTGCTTAGCTCATAATCCGATGTTGCCATAGAAATGATATGTAGCAAAAATTTGTTGACAAATGAGCGAAAGTTGGAAGCTTGAATTGACTTCAAACCTTCGAGCACCCTTCTGGGTGGTGGCACGTTATCCACTAACCGTCAAGACTTTGCTTGCGCTGCTCTCAACCATATTAAATACATTTTTTTGCCATGGGTGGTCATCCATCATGGTACTGATTCAGAAAACACAAAAGCACAAGCACCTGTTTGGCTAAAGAAATGGTTCAAATTAACGATAATTTTTTCAGTCGAGTGAGCACCATATGATAGATATTATAGGGACTGGAAGTAAGCAGTCGCAAAAATTATGGCGAGACTTCACTCCGACTTAGTTGTGATTTCGATGTTCACCATTGGGACGGTGTTGGGATGCGGAGTGTTGCCACTAGGTCAAGGTAACGATTAGAAAAATGTTATCGTAGTGCAAATCACACTACTAAGTGGCTGTGATGATATGAAGTTTCAAATGAAAGAGTCTTGCAATGTTAATACAGAAAGAAACTCCAAAAACCATTTGCTGAAACGATTTAAGTTTCCACTGCTATTCACAAAGGCAAAATATTTGTTTTAGCGAGGACTATCACTTTCAACGTGACCGGCTTCACTTTACCTGTTTCCATGGTTTACACTGGAACTCCCACTGTTCCTGTTAGTTTCCCGGCATTCATACAAGCAGTGGAGCAGTACAAGCATTTTTATCACGTACTGTAATGCAAACAGTAAGTTGGAAACTCTTAGATCTCACTT